GGGGGGTCTGAGGCCCTGGGCTGGGACGACCCTCGCTGTAGAGAAGGGGGCTCGGGTCCCCCTGTTTGCCCACCGGGGCAGGGGCGCCACTCAAGGGCTGCAGCAAAGGAGACTAGACCAGATTCATGGTCCGGAAAACTTTCCGTGCTGGGTCGAGAGGACCGCCCTGGCCGGCGCCGAGGCATCTGGGAGACAGAGGGCAGCTGACCTGGGACGGGAAGGGGCTGCCAGCGGCCCCACTCCTGGCCAGCTGGACTCTGGTGTCTGGTGCATGTGCCCCTCCGTTGCCTGCGGAGGCCCCCTACGTGTGAGGCGGGTGCTGGGCTCCCAGCCCAGAGGGGGACAGTCCACAGGGAGTGACAGGCAGCCGCCCCCCAGGCAGCGGTGAGGCCCTGAGCCAATCAGAGTGGAGGAATGGGATGGGCTGGCTGGGGGCGCGAGGAGGGGCGCGGCGGCTGCCCGAATCTTATCAGGGAGATGACGGGCCTTTGGAGGGGCAGTGGCCCAAGACCCGCAGGAGGAGGTCAGGGCAGGACCCACAGGGACACACACACAGACGCTGTCAGAAGACAGCCCAGGACCCTGGCTCGGGACGGCCCAGGCGTGGTCACGTGGCCGGCAGCGCCGGCAGCGCGTAGTCGGAAATGCGCCCGATCAGTGCCCCCAGACACTGCGCATCAGGAACACGGGGGTCCGACAGGCCGGCAGGTGCTTCTGATGCGCGCCCCGGTTTGAGAGTGAGTGACCTCCGACAACAGCTCTCCGGGGAGGCTCTGCCCCCAAGGGACACTGGGCATTTATTTGTCCGATGACATTTTTGGCTGTCACAACTAGGGACGGGGCGCTTCTGTCGCCGAGCGAAGAGATGCCAGGGATGCTGCTACACACCCTGCAGTGTACAGGATGCCCCCAACATCGGCGGTGCCGCGGTCCGACCCTGCCCTGGATCAGGGTCCCCCGCCCGCCTCAGACCCCACCCCCAGTGGCGTCTTTAAGAAGGCAAATCACAAGGCCGCACAGAAATGTTTTGAAAAGCTGTCTTGGGTGACCCTGGGCCCAGTCCCCGGTCCTGGCATCTGGAACCAAGAGACACCCCGGGGAGAGAGCAGGGGTGCAGGGAGAAGGCGGAGGATGGCCCTGCAGGCCCCCGGCGTGATGGGCCGGGACGGGAACGAGGCGCCGGGCAGGCAGGGAGCAGGGCAGCAGGGCGACCAAAGCCAGCCCCCAGGGCGACGAGGGGTCGAGACGGAGGCGGCTGAGGCGGTGGCGGGGGCCTGGACAGGGCGGGGGTCACAGACTGTCTGCTCTGTGCTGGCCCAAGGCCAGGCCAGGCCAGGCCACCGGGTGGGGAGGCACAGACACGCTTCCCAGGCAGGCCCGGGAGCAGCCGCGGAGAGAGGAGGAAACAAAACCCATGGAGAGCGCGCGCCGAAGGCGGGGGCCGTGGGGGTGCCGCCTCCCGCTGGGAAAGGTTCATTTTCGGGGGAGACCTGCAGCGGGGGCCCTGCTGCGGGCACAGAGGAGGGATTTACAGAGGAGAGCCTGGGCGAGGGGCAGCCGGGACCCTGAGTGGAGCCGCCACGTCGAGGGCGGAAGGGGTGGCGCTCGGGGACCTCTTCCACGCCTGCCGCGCAGTCCCTGGCCACGGACGTGGCCACGGAGAGATTTAATGCCCTCATAATAAGAGAGCCACGGAAGATGCTCCCGCTCACCAGCCATCAAGGAGCCGCCGATTAACCCCGGGACATAGCACTTGTCACTCCCTCGGCCAGAGAGCCCGGGCCGGTGACCCCAGGTGTGGGCGAGGCTTGGGAGAAAGGACACCCTCGGAGTTCCGGAAGGAGTGTCCATCGCGCACTTCCAGGACAGTGCCCTGTCACTGAAACAAAGCCTGGGGGGCCCCTGGGAGCCCAGACATGCCACCAGCGGGGACATGCCCTGGAGGAAGGTCACAGGCGACCCAAGGGAGCTCTGCCTGAGTCCTCACCACTGTGTGGCCTGTTATGGGCAAAACTAAACACAACACACATAGGTAATAGCTAACCTGTGAAAATATGTATGTTCCTCAGCCCCCTGTGTGGCTATTAAGAGAGGGAGAGAGACAGGGACTCAGCATATGGGGCCGGCGGGGGTGGGGGGCGCCGGGGGGAGGCAGCACTGAGTGCGGAGCGGCCACGGCGGCGGCGGACCTGCATGCCCCCTGCTCGCCGGGGTGTCTGTGGAGCGCCTTTTCCCAGCACATGCGGGGACAGCAGGGGAAGGGGGCCGAGCCCGTCCGCCCACTCCGGGCCACCCCGAGGCAGCCGCTGGAGAGAGAAGGGGTGTCGCCGTTCACATCTGATCACGCTCTGAGCTTCTAGGAAGAGGAGACTGAGGCGCTGGCACGCACGGCGGGGCAAGGGTAAAAGCCGCCTGGGCTGTTTCATGCGGTAGAACGTCGACATGGCAGGGGGCGACCCTTCCACTTGGCTCCATGCCGCGTGGGTCCCCAGTGGGTGCCCTGGCGGCAGTTCTCAGGGGCAGCACTTCGGTGGGCAGGTGAGGAGACCCCAGAGGGAGAGTAGGATGCAGGGCTGGGGCTCTTGGCCGAGGGAACAAATGAGCCCCATCGGGGGGACACTGACCTACAACAGCAGACGCTCTGAGAGCCCCAGTAACACACATCACAAGAAGACCCCGCCCAGACTGCTGGGCACAGGCTCTCCGGAGCCATGTGGGAAGGTATCGTGCAAGAGATATGCCCAAAGAGCAGCATGCGGGGCATCAGAAGGAAGTGATTCCCCCATCCACAGAGGTATGCAAGCACAGGCCACGACGGGCAGGCACGGCGGTTGCAGACAACGCCCCCCGACAGTCCACCCTTCCTGCTTCAAGCTCCCAGGTTACTTCCAGCGTGAAGATTCCGACTCTCCCTCTCTCTTTTTTTAACCTCACCCCAAGGATATGTTTATTGATTTTAGAGAGAGACAGGGAGAGAGGGGAACTTCAATGTGAGAGAGACACAATGACAGTCGCTTCTCATACGCGCCCCAACCTGGGATCAAACCCACAACCTAGGTATGTGCTCTGGCTGGGAATCGAACCCGCAGCCTCTTGGCTCTCAGCCACCCTGCCAGCGCCTGACTCTCCTTCGGCCAGAACTCCTTTACTCATTAACACAATCCATAAAGGCTCCCTTGCTTGCTGCTTCTCAGTAAGGTCCTGCCCCTCACAGAATCGTACATACTGCAGACCGCTCACCTCCGGCATCCGCTCTCTGGGTCCCATTCTGCATGTGAACCCGAGGTCAGCTCAGGTGCTCCCCGTCCCCAGGCATCCTTTCGTCACGGGCACCCGAGCCCTCTCTGCCCCAGCCCTGGCGGGCGGGCGCCAGCCACCCGTCGAGCCCCCGTCCCCGCCCACGAGGCAGGCAGTCGGAGAGCCATAACCTCCATCATTTCCGCTTCAAGTTTGCTTCCCCTGACTGCCAGGGAGACAAAAGGCGCCCGGAAGGATCCTCTCCTGACGAGCCACTCAACCCCCATCCTGGGACCGATCACAGCTCTGCATCCCCAGCGCAGGGAGAAGCCAACCCAGCCTGGAGTGCTGGGGGCTTCCTCCCTGGTTTCTAATAAAAGGATTAATTAAAGCCTCAAGGGTCAGCTTATGGCAGCCCCTGCTTGAAACTCCAGGGAAATGAACTTGACCTTCCAGATAGAGAAAAGCCAGGGATTTCCTCTGGCTGGTACCTTAGTTTGACCGAACGATCCAGTGTCAATAGTCCTAACAAAGAAATCTTACAAGCCTTGAATGGGTTTATTGTTTAAAATTTCAAATTGGGCTCTGGTGCCCACAGAGCTGCCTTTGATGGGTCTTGCTTTGCAGTTGGACAGGAAAGCCCCACTGAATTGGGGGTGGGGGGGGCGCCCCCCACAGAGCCCTGCTCAGGCAGCCCCGGGGCGGGGCGGGGAGGGGGTCCTCTTGCCTAGGATGCCCCCCACCTATCCAGATGGAGTCCCCATTTGGAGCCAGTGCATGGAGAGAGAACACTCCTTCAGAGGCACAGGCAACTTATTGTCACAACAGAATCTAGGGAGAGAGGGTGCTTCTCCGAGATCGAATACCGAGTCCTGTGGCTTGACACCAAAGCACCAGCTTTGGTTCTTTTTTTGAACCCCACATTCAGAAGCTCCCACTTCTCCCTGTGAAGTGAAAATTGCCTTCTGGTGGAGAAAGATTTTAATGATCGCTTTGCTTCCCGCGTCTCCATGGTGACGAGGCGCGCACAGCCCACCCCCCCTACCCCACCCCCCTTCTTTATTAGGCCTTTCTTCCTCTCTGGAAAGTAATCAATCAGGACACATAGACGCCTTTGTGACCGGATTTATCACCTGAACCATTGACGCTGCCGCGGGGGTGGGGAGCGGACCAAGTCCCTATAATTTAATGAAATCGGGCTCTGCCCGGGCGCACGCCCTTCACCTCCCCGCCGGCAGCTCCGGGAGCACACCTGCCGGGGAGGCGGGCGGGCGGGCGGCGCGCCCAGGTGCGCCGAGCCCCGCCAGAGTCGGGCGCCCCGAGGAAGCCCCTCTGCGCGGTGTCCCCGGGAGCGCTGCCCTGCCAGGGCGGGGACGCAGGGCCACCTGAGCTGGGGCCCGGGGGAGGCAGAGCGCCCAGCTAGCGCTGGCGGAGGCGGCCGCAGGTCGGACCCTCCTCCCGGAGCTGGTCGCGCCCGAGGAAGGGGAGTCCCCCAGAGGGCCAGCCCTGCCCGCCGCCGGCAAGGAGGGCCCCCGGCGCCGGGCGCCCGGCTCTACCCGGAAACCGCTTCTCTTCGGACAAAGGGCTCCGCGGCGCGCCCCGGCCCCGTAACGGGGAACGCGAACCGCGGGGTCCGAGCGCCCGGTCCGGCCGGGTCTCCCCAAATGCAGGCGGGGGCGCGGAGCGGCGCCTGGGACGTGCGCCCCGCGCCGCCCGCCCGGGCCTCCCCCGCCCGCCCCGCCGCCCCCGCCCGGCCCTGTTACCTGGGTTCTCCCCGGCGTCCGCGGAGGAGGTGGCCGAGGCGTCGGTGAGGACGCTGGGGTCACTCTGCGAGCGGCCCCGCGACACAAGGCAGCCGCTCCCGTCCTCGGACGCGGCCATGGGCCCGGCGGGCGCGGGGGCAAGTTGGAGGGAGCCTCGCGGAATCAGAGCATCCGAGGCGGCCAAGGTCACCGGCGAGGGGGCTGGCGGGGGCGTCTTTTTAAAAAGCAAAATCAAAAAGGCCGGGGAGAGGGAAGGAGCCGTTGGACGTCGCCGGGGCCGCTTCAGGGCGGCGAGACAATAGCCTGGCGGCTGCAGCCAGGCGCATCCCGGCGCGCGCGGCCTGGCGCGGTTATTTATTCGAGTTTATTCCCATTCTTCAGTCCGTATTCCAGGAAAAAAAAAAAAAGTTGAACCAGGAAATAAAAACTTTTTCTTGTCAGTGTTTATTGCGTGCTTGGGGCAGGGGGTGATGTCCAGGAATTTCTAAGGGCGCTCCCTCCCCCCACCCCACCCCCCACCCCCCCGGAAAAAATAAAGGAAAAATGAAGAATCTTTGCTCTTGCAATTGCTTTAATCGGAAAGCTGTTCTTGGAGCATCTGTTGGAAAACATTAGGATTCTCCCATCATGCCGCGCGAGGAGCATGACGTCACGGGAGAGGGGAGTGAGAATGAGCGTGGAGCTGGGGAGGGGTCTCGAATACCTGGGCGCTCGCAGCCGCCCCGCGGAGGTGGGGGCTGGATCCCGAGTCCTGAGCTGCCTGCTCCCACCCCAGCGGCGCGCGGGACCCCAGAGGGCCCCCGCATCCCCCTTCCAGCTGGGGGGACGGGAATCCTGAGGGCGCCTCCCTTGGAGGCAGGGCCAAGCTCCCCAGCGGCTCGGGCAGCTGGTTTCCTGGGCTCTTCCTCCCTTGGGGATTTGGAAGCCAGTGGATCCCGAGCGCCCCCTCCACCATGCGGGGGGGGGGCGCCCCTCAGCTTCATCCCCACCCACCTCAGCCCCTCCCCACGCCCGAGGCCTCCTTCCCTCAGGCCCTCAGCCCAGAGCCTGGGAGGGGAGAGCTGGGCAGGCCCCTGGTGCCTTCCGGGGAGGCTTTCCCCGCACCCCCAATGAAGGTGACGGAACCAGCAAGGGAGGTGTCACCCCGCGAGGCTGCCACTCACAGAGGTGTTCTCCCAGGTGCTACGAGCAAGGCTGACAGTCCTAGATGGCGGCCGGAGGCGCACGAGCACACAGAACACGTGTGCAGCAGCGCAGGCACCCCCTGTGTCGGCCCCTGAAACAGCCCCGGGGGCAGGGGCCGGGTCCCCCTGGGGCGGCTCCTTCACCTGCCGCCAGCACCTAACGCAGGGCAGGGCTGTGCCCTGGGGGCTGAGGGGGGCAGCTCCCAGGCTGAGTCGGATGGAACCCCGACGAAGCGTCACAGACAGGACCCCGGGTGGGGAAACAGCAGGGATGGGGGTCCGCCCAGAGACCGGGGCTCTGGGCAGCGGGCGCCTTCCGGGAAAGCACCATGCAGTCATTCATTCAAAATGCGCGCAGGCGGCCTCCTGCAGTGGCACCACGGGGCCCAGCAGAGAGCAAGGGCAGAGGCGCGGCCCCCTGGGGCTTTCGGGAGCCAGGGCGGAGCCGGGAATGGTCGCCAACAAACCCACAGATGCCCCTCAAACGTGTCACTGTAGTCGACCATTAATACGGTGAAACAGAGTAAACGAGGAGGACGTTTTACTACGGGATACTTTTTACCCACATAAAAACGCTGTCTGGTGGCGCACGCCGCCCCCGGCTGGGCGCTCAGTCTCCGCTGCAGTGCTCCCTCACGCGGCCTAGGAGGTGGGCGTGACCGTGGTCCCCGTCTCAGAGCTGAGGGCGCCCGCCCGGGTCACAAGCCAGGTCGCGGCAGGGCTGGGACGCGGCCAATGCCCCCGACCCAAGGCCTGCCTGAGTGGGTCCCAGGGCGCCCCCTGCCCAGAGCTCCGCAGCCTGGCTGACATCCGGCCCCCGGGCAGGTTTCAGAAGCCAGCAGCTCACACCCCCGACCCCCCCACATCTGGACGGGAAGGCCTGGGTCTGGCCCGGCCAGCAGCGGGTGCAGAGCCCGGCCAGGGGCGCAGGGGGCAGCCCCGGGGGCACCTGTGTGAGGAGAAGAGCAGGAAGCTGCCTGCCACTCGCCCGCCGGCCTCAGCCCCGGGGCCTTCCCTCCTCACCGCCCACCCTGCTACCGACTTGAGGTTCTAAAGCAACTCTGTACTTGAAAGCGACTCAAAAGAAACAGTCACCAGCGGAACAAAACCCTGGTGGGTTGGGCATCGCCCATGACCCTAAAGGTGGCCGGTCCAACTCCTGGGCAGGGCACACGCCTGGGGGGTGGGTTTGGTCGCCAGTCGGGGCGCTTATGAGTGACAACCGATCAACATTTCTCACACTGATGATCCTCTCTCTCTCCTCCCTCCCTTCCCTTCTCATATAAATAAATAACTAAACAGTGTCCAGCAGAAAAAGGCCTGCTTGAGTGTGGTGGGTAGAGTAATAACATGGGTGTAATAATTTATGGTTTTAATTTGAACATTTTACCCAAAATGTCATAGGGTGTGCTTGACTGTGATATTGTTATGTTACAGCATTACGTGCTTACAGTTTTGCAATAAAAGATTCTGCAATAAAAAAGGGGCGCTATTTGTCCCAGAGCCTGTGTACACTCCCCCCACCCCAAGTACTGTGATTGGTTACAGCTGGCCTGGTAGGGGGCTGGTCATTTTACTTTTCTTGGGCTTTGACATGTTCTGTGATAAAAACAGCTTTAAATTTTAAAACACAAGTCTATTGGTCAATAGAAAATAAAGTCTCTTGGTGAATTTGGCCTTTGAAGTCGTTCACCCCCAACCAGGACAACCGAGGCCTGGGGAGAGCTGGCCAAAGACAGCTGTCTGCAGGGGGACCCCGGCCTGGGGGTCCTTAAGGGGTCTTTGTGAATGTCACCAACTGTCCCTCCACAGCAAGATCCCCGGCAGAGGCGGGACTGACCGGGAAGCCCGCCCTGGAGCCCTACGGGAGCAGCCAAGGCTTCCTCAGGGCCCCCAGTGGAAGCCACCAAATGTCCGCCCACCGACAGATACGTGGAGCGTGGCACACCCACCCAGCCAGTGTCGCCTGCTACGACGCAGGTGGACCCTGAGACACTCCTCCAAGTGAGAGACCGCATGTTATATTCCACTTACGTTAATCATTTCAGTACAGCTGTTCAGAACCGAACCAAGCAAACAAGGTGCACAGCGGCCCCTGGGCTGGGCTTCAGATGTGAGGGCGGGTGGGGTTCCACCGCACTTCTGCAGAGAATAACCCACCCCAGACCCCTCCTGTCCCTTCCTGGGGCTCCGAATCGGAAAGCCCCCCAGGGCCCCCCTCCTGGCCCCGGCCGGAACCCCAAGGCCGCTCAGGGGCTCCGGGAGCCCCGGCCGCCCCAAAGAACTACGAAGAGCCAGCAAGGCCGGGAAAGTTTCTCCCTTCCAAAAGCACCCAGGGGCGAAGCCACAAGGAGGGCCGTCCTCTGCCCAGGGCCATCCGGGGGGACGTCACGGCAGCGGCGGCCCTGAGGCTGGCAGGGCCGCCCGCCTATGCGGGATGTGCCCGTCGTCTCCAGGGGGCGGGGTGGCAGGGCCGCACAGGGGCCCAGGGCCGCCCCCCGCGTTGCCTCCGTTCTCACACCAGGTTCGGGTTCCCGTCACCCGCCCATCGAATCGTTCCTGAGCATCTAGCTCGTGCCCAAACGCGTGACTTGCAGGGACCATCACGGGGAAGGAGACAGCGCCGGGCCTCGGCCTGGCGGTGCTGGCGACCTTACAGAGAGGGCAGGACACCACCGCTCTGCCGGCAGTCAGCCGGGGCTTCCGTGGGCACCGAGCGGGACGCCTTGGAGGGGGCGCCCTTGCAGAGGAGGGGGCGCCCCCTGGTGGGAGGAAGCGGCTGGACTCAGGTTGAGAGGTGCAGCAGCGGGAGCGCGGACGTCCCCCAGAAGGGGCAGAGGGAGGGGCCGGGCGGAGCGAGGCTGCTCAGAGGGGCAGGAGCCAGGCCACGCCGTGACCGCCCGGGTTTTGTTCCGCTGGGGGCAGACGTGAGTGTGCAGGGGGTCCCTCGGGCCTCTGGCGGAGAAGGGGTCCAGGGGAGGGAGAAGCGGGGGATGGGTAAGGAGGCTGGTACCGCGCAGGTGGGTGGAGTGGAGGGATGAGAGAAAGGAGGCAAAGGCGACTCCCACATTTTTGCTTTCCGATGATTACCTGGGTGTGGGGGAGGCGGTCAAGGTAGCCACCAAGTCGGATATTTACAATGGGAGGGGGGGTCAGAGCAGGGGCGGGAGGGGGCAGAAGAGGAGGCCCCCACTGGGACACAGGGCACGAGACGAGATGCCCACGAGCCTGCCGCCTTGGCTCCGCGCCCACCCAGACTCAGGCAGCGTCCGCTCCGTCGGGGGTGGGGGACAAAAGGGCACAGGCTGCGGGGTCCCAGCGCCCCCTGGCACCAGCTGCAGGCTGGGCGACCCCGCTCTGGGCCTCCTTATCTCACGAGGAGCACGGCTGCTCTGCCCGGCCATCCCGGGACGGTCCCTCCAGGGGACGAGGGGTGCGTGCCCCCGGGGGGCTCTCACACGCCACCACCCCGGGTCGGGCGTCAGGCCCCGCTGCTCTGGCTTCTGGCCGTCCCGCAGCGACCACACACACTCAACAGGCCCCGGGGCGCCCCACAGGGGGTTGGAACCGCAACTGGCCATGCACATAGGGCTACGGAGGCACCGGGGCGGGGGAAGGCGAGGGAGGTCACATCGACGTTGCACTTTGGTTCTGCTGGAGACAACTGACTGCTTCCCCAGGGCCCCTCAGAGACCTGACACCGGGGGCCTGGCCACCGCCATGTCTTCGCTGTGTGTTCAGGGACCCTGGCCTGGTCTCTTCACCCAAGAACGGGCCTGGCACGCTGTGGCCACCGGGAAGCAAACGTGTGCTGGCTGCCTGACTGCCTGAATGAATGACCGCCCATGGTGGGTGGCCTGTCACATGACATTCCTGCTCCAGCCGGGAGGGCTCAGCCCCACCAGGGCCCAGGTCCCCTCCAACCTTTCAGGGG